TAAGTGGGGTTCATAATACTGAGGACAAGGTTTGGGTTATAAGTGGGGTTCTTAATACTGGGGACAAGGTTTGGGTTATAAGTGGGGTTCATAATACCAATGGTTTGGTCAAACTTAGTGATAAACTAAGAGGTAGGTGTAAAAGTTGTGAATGGCCGGTCGATTTTGTGACGCATGTCGATGGGTTAACTGTTAAGCAATTACCTGGAATGGTGTAATCTATGTCCTTTTTCTTACTCTAGGAATTATTGAAAAGTCATTTTAACTAGAACCATATTAAAATGAAACAATCAGAAGATGATGCAATCACATAAAAACTTGATAGTTGTGGTAACATGAACTGTATTTCTTTCCTCTTCCAATTACTTACAAAGACAAAAAGTTTCCTACTTTTGGTTTAGGAGTTATTGTACGCCTCGATGGGAAAGTGTAGTGGACACCGTAGCAGTGCTGGGGTGGTCAGGATGAAGATCCCCGGAACATCAAAACTGGCTCCATTTGAACCATCCATGTTCACTGTCACACAATCTCTTGTGTCACTCCTCACAAAGAATGGCTGGGATTACAAGATGTCAGAGATGTTGGCCACAGGACCCAAATGTAAATATTTAAATCTGTCTTATATAAAAGTTTGGTTTTCTTGAGAAATTGGGATAGTAATTTAGTAGTTAAGAATGTTTGAGGGAAGTACATGGGTATGCAGATTGTTAAATCACCTATTACAGAGGACTGGTAAGCTTCTGCCCTGGTTCGGTATGAGTCTTCTGGGTAAAGAGTACTCAAGTTTTTAGCTCACCTGGTCCAAACTCGTCCGTTCGTCAACTTTTCCTTTAAAACACTACTTGTCCTGAACGGCCCGGTAGATTTTGACTTAATTCGGTCTGGAACATCCTTAGGCAAAAGGCACTCAACTTGTATAAACAGTGGGTGTTGCCCCCTTGGGGCAGAGGAGCGGGGCCCTGTAGGGGAAATGGAGGTAAAACCTTTAAGATTCTTCTTCTACCGTAAACCATAAAAGGATTTTATCTTAATTCAGTCTGGAGCATCCTTGGGCCAAGGGGACTCAATTTTGTATAAACAGTGGGTATGGCCCCCCTGTGGGCAGAGGGGCGGGGCCCAATAGGGAAAATATAGGTAAAACCTTTGAATAAGGGGATTAAGGGATTTCATTCCAATTTGATTTGCAACATCCTTGGGACAAGAGGATTCTATTTTGTATTAATGTTGGATGTGGCTTCCCTGAGGACAGAGCTGTCATCTTTCTGTCCTTCAACTTTTCCTTTGAAACGCTACTTGTCCTGAACGACTCAGTGGATTATGATTACATTTGGTCTGGAGCATCCTTAGGCCAAGGGCACTCAATTTTGTATAAACGTCGGGTGTGGCCCCCTGGGGGCAGCGAAGCGGGGCCCAATAGGGGAAATAGAGGTTAAACCTTTAAAATCCTTCTTCTACCGTAGGAATAAAAGAATTTCATCCTAATGGGACTCAATTTTGTATAAACGGTGGGTGTGGCCCCCTAGGGACAGAGGGGTGGGGCCATATTTGAAGTTTGTTCTGGCTATATCTCAAGGACTGGATGGATCTTTCTAAAATTTCATATGTACATACAGTACCTACCATGGAGTGCTATATCTTTACCTCTTATCAATGACTTTAAACATATCCAGGTGAGCAATACAGGCCCTCTGGTCCTCTTGAAACAGTAGATATTTCGTAAACACATATTCATTGGAAGGCATTAGTAATACAAGCTACTCTGCTGACAAACTCTTGAGATCGTGGGGTCAAAGGTCAAAGATCACAAATGAATTACATTAGTGAAATGGCTAATAATCTCGGAAATGGTAGATGTTTCGTATACACGTATAGGAGTATCGTAGCCAATTATGCAGGCTACATTGTGACAAACTTCCAAGGTCATGAGGTCAAAGGTCACAGATGCATTATGTTACTAAAATGGCTAATTATCGGAGAAAGGGTAGGTATCTTGTATACACATATGCTAGGGTATTGTAGCCAATTATGCAGGCTACATTGTGACAAAATTATGAGGTCATTGGGTCAAAGGTCACAGTAGCAGTGTTTCTTTTGTCTTTTCTATCGGTCTGTTGGTACGACATCTGAGGTTAGCCTTTTCATGACCCCTGATCTTTATATATATTTTTTCACTCGTTAATTTAGCCCCTACTGGGGCAACACGCAGCCGGAATGCGAGGGGTATTAGTTAGCACATAGGCGACAGTTCTAGTTTCGAGCCATTTACGCACGGATGAATACGTAGCTTAGTAAATAATTAGTGAAATGTCACCTAAATGTACCAGACAAATCAGACGAGATAGAAATATTTAGCATAGAGTATGACATGGGATATCTCTGTCTGAGTTGCGAGAATACTTCCACTTTAAGCGCTGCTAGACGTTTACTATACATGTGTACAGACAGCCATAGGGAACATGCAGATGATGCTATGGACTTCAGCAAAAAATTAAAACCCCAGGCTTATGGCGGTTGACAAATTTTACATTGCCTGATATTAAGTTAGACATTTTGGATCAAAATTGCCAAATTTACTGATCGTCAAATATTTCCACTATATGGTATTTACCCATTTAATGATCGTCAAATACTTCCACTATATGGTATTTATCCATTTAATGATCGTCAAATACTTCCACTATATGGTATTTACCCATTTCAGCTATACAATTGTTCCTTTATATCTATATTTTAGGTCCAACACAAGTTGGTGTCTCCGTGGATTCATCTACCCATCCAAACAGTCCTAGAGCAGTGCCCTCTACCCCTGAGGATGATGGCATCCACCCCCTCCAGCTGATCAATGCCCTCGCTGGCTGTGTCCTCTCCACTAAGTTACCCCCCTCACACAAACAGTGGGCCGCCAAGCAGCTCCTCCAGTCTCTGTCCTCTCATCGCCATTCTTCATCACCACTAGTCAACCAGGTGGACCTGGGCGGCGACCTCCCCCACTGCCAGGTTTCCAAGCTTGAGGGTCATCAGAATAGACTGGCCATGTGTCAATGGAGCCAGAAAAAATCTATGCTTGCAACAAGGTAAGATTGACTGTGATGTTTAGCAAAATGTGATGTATTACAGATAAGTCAAGTTTAATACATATTAATATATGTTGAATACTTAAAATATGCCCAAAACTCAGGTCCACGACTAAATGGAATAACAGTTCTGGTTGTATATAAACTTAACTTTAGCTTGTTTCTTTGCTGTTTTAGTGGCTATGATGGAACACTACGTGTGTGGAGCCTGCCTAACAAGACACACCAGTTCCTGCAACAGACTTGTGTGTTTAACCGAGGAGAAGATCTCTTAGGAGAAGACCTTGATGGTCACTTGCTGGACAACATTTGCTGGAGTGCCAATGGTCGTTTACTTGCTGGTTCGATGGACAATCTGGTTAACGTTTGGAGCACTGGAGGTAGGCCAACTGGTTACTGCATGTATGGTTGGTAATTTTCACAAGGGATTCAATTTGGCTTAATATTTGTGGTCACAAAAGATTTCGCTATAGTGGCAGTCTTAAAAGATGGTGTGCAATGAAATACTCAGTGAATATTATTTTTCGGTATATACCATATAACCCCCAAAATAATCATGAGTATCCCTTATAATTTGATTTAAAAAGGAAGCCAATGCTTTATTAGTTCATAGGTAATGAATATTTATTCATTTCTGACAAACTCAAAATAATTATGCACAAAACTCAACATTGTGCAGTAATTTCATCTCCAAGCAACTTCAACCAATCAGAAGTTAAAATTAGAAATACCATTCCAAACATTGAGGTATACAACAACATCACTTTCTGTGTTGTCTGTGTTTTAGGTAACACAATATTACGTGAAAAAAAATACCATTTGAGGGTGTAGCTAAAATTGAATGATATGTGTCTTCAGCTTAATATTTTCAATTCAAAGTTTATTATGAAATAAACATATGTCCCCAGTTGAAATTTGGATATTAGTAACAATGACATGTTTGAGCTACCTTGAATTAACTGGGGCCTTTTTACACAGGCTGCAAGGGTATCCTAGATGTACAGGATCACTGGGTGTCTGCCCTGGCCTGGCCTAGTCACAAGAGTATGGTTGGTGGTTGTCTGGGTATGACCACTGACATCCTCCTTGTGGGCAGACTCGACGGCTCCCTTGCTGTACTAGAGATCCTTGGGGGCTCCAGCTTCAACCGCAAGGAACTAGAGCACTGCAGCCGCAACTCGGGTAAAGTAGTAGAATTACGTCGGTTCAGGTAAAGTAGTAGAATTACGTCGGTTCAGGTTGGGAGTAGTAGAATGGTTGGTTATATGCGACCATGGTAGTTGCTATCTGTCAAACTTTTCCCCCTGCCCTATTAAGTTGATTTCACTCGACCCATACTTCTGCTCTCTCTGAATGACATAGATTGTACTTACTAATATCTCCTTGTCTTATGGATAGATTGTACTTACCAATATCTCCTTGTCTTACTTTAGTGGCCGTTACCTTGCTGGCATGGTACGATGAGGACAGGAACTTCGCTGCCGGCTACAGTGATGGCGTGGTGATCATTAGTAACCGCTCAGACTTTGAAACCCCTGTCATCACAGAGACTCACCAGGTTGTTTGATAGCTTCATTTCAAAATATTTTATTGTTAATGCAAACAAAGATAATTACAGAAGAAATATAACAGTATGTATATTAACAAAGGGATAAGAACACAGGCTAAGCCTATATAACTTCTTCTGAATAACCAAAAGGACTAGGTTGATGATATCTGGATGAAGGGCCATCAAGTTTGTTCAAATGAATGATCTTGACCTATAATCAAGGTCACAGGGGTCAAATATGTTAAAAACTTTTTCTGAATAACCAATAGGCCTAGAATGTTGATATCTGGCCAGTAGCATGCTGGGATAAAGGGCTACAAAGTTTATTATAGTGAATGACCTTGACTTATATTCAAGGTCATAGGGGTCAAATTTGTTTAAAATCATTAAACGACTTCAGAATAACCATGAGGCCCAGAATGGTGATATTTGGCCAGTAGCATGCTTGGATAAAGGGCTATCAAGCTTTTTCTTTTGAATGACTGACCCACTTTCAAGGTCACATTTGGTCAAATATATATATAAACATTTAAATGACCAAATCTCAGTAAACAAAACGTATAGGGTGGTGATTTTTGTCAAGTTGCATGCTGATATGAAGGGCTATAAAGTTTGTTCAACATAATGACCTTCTTCAACTGTCAAGGTCACAGGGGTTATATGTGTTTAAATCCTTAACTAGTTCTTTTGAATGACTTACAATCATTAATACTCTTATTTTGCCTGTAGCTTTATTTTATTCCACTTTTAAGGATACAAGTTTGAGATTAATACCAGGTGAGCGATGTAGGTCCATTGGGCCTCTTGTTTATTAAAATCGTGACTGATGTGATGAATTTGCTTTAACTAACGTTAGAAAAATAGCAACAACACAAAAAGTTGCCGACATGAAATCCTTTATAGGGTAATAAATTTACTCTTGAACCATTGTTTATTTTAGAACTGTATCATTGGTCTGTCCTGGGACCCCACCGGTCACCTGCTGCTGACTTGTGCTGAGAAGGACAACTGTGTGAAGGTCTGGCTGCCTGGCCGTGAGGGACTGTGTCTGCTGTACCTTCTCCCTGACTCTGCTCCAGTCTGCTCAGCCATGTGGTGCAGTATTCCAGGCAAAGGGGACTCGAAACACCTCCTGTTGGCCAGGTAATGAATGTAAAGTTTAAGAGGAGTCTAAACACCTCCTGTTGGCCAGGTAATGCATGTAAAATTAAGGGGAGTCTAAACACTGTTGACCAGGTAATGAATGTAAAATTTAAGGGGAGTCTAAACACCTCCTGTTGGCCAGGTAATGAATGTTAAATTTAAGGGGAATCTAAACACCTCCTATTGGCCAGGTAATGAATGTAAAATTTAAGGAGAGTCTAAACACCTCTTGTTGGCCAAGTATTGAATGTTAAATTTAAGGAGAGTCTAAACACCTCCTGCTGGCCAGGTAATGAATGTTAAATTTAAGGAGAGTCTAAACACCTCCTGTTGGCCAGGTATTGAATGTTAAATTTAAGAGGAGTCTAAACACCTCCTGTTGGCCAGGTAATGAATGTTAAATTTAAGGAGAGTCTAAACACCTCCTGTTGGCCAGGTATTGAATGTTAAATTTAAGGGGAGTCTAAACACCTCCTGTTTGCCAGGTAATGAATTTAAAATTTAAGGAGAGTCTTAACACCTCCTGTTGGCCAGGTAATGAATGTTAAATTTAGGGGGAGTCTAAACACCTCCTGTTGGCCAGGTAATGAATGTTAAATTTAAGGGGAGTCTAAACACCTCATGTAGGCCAGGTAACGAATGTTAAAGTTAAGGGGAGTCTATAAACACCTCCTGTTGGCCAGGTAATGAATGTTAAATTTAAGGGGAGTCTAAACACCTCCTGTTGGCCAGGTAATGAATGTTAAATTTAAGGGGAGTCTAAACACCTCCTGTTGGCCAGGTAATGAATGTTAAATTTAAGGGAAGTCTAAACACCTCCTATTGGCCAGGTAATGAATGTTAAATTTAAGAGGAGTCTAAACACCTCCTGTTGGCCAGGTAATGAATGTTAAATTTAAGGGGAGTCTAAACCCCTCCTGTTGGCCAGGTAATGAATGTAAAATTAAGGGGAGTCTAAACACTGTTGGCCAGGTAATGGATGTAAAATTAAGGGGAGTCTAAACACCTCCTGTTGGCCAGGTAATGAATGTAAAATGTAAGGGGAGTCTAAACACATCCTGTTGGCCAGGTAATGAATGTTAAAGTTAAGGGAAGTCTAAACACCTCCTATTGGCCAGGTAATGAACGTTAAATTTAAGAGGAGTCTAAACACCTCCTGATGGCCAGGTAATGAATGTTAAATTTAAGAGGAGTCTAAACACCTCCTGTTTGCCAGGTAATGAATTTAAAATTTAAGGAGAGTCTTAACACCTCCTGTTGGCCAGGTAATGAATGTTAAATTCAAGGGGTGTCTTAAAACCTCTCGTTTTCCAGGTAATGTTCTTAGTAATTTAAAGTGGGAGTCTTAAACAACTGTTATAGGTGATGTAAATTTGACTTAAAGGGACGTCTAAGACATCATTTGTTGGGGGAGGTAATGCACATAACTAAAAGGGGAATGTGAACAAAATTTTGTCTTCCAGGTAATTCTTTGTGTTGAATTTCCTACAGACCTGAAATAAAACTTTAGGCCAGCTGCTGATAAGCTATTGCATTGCCATGTGTCATCTGTCAGCTGACATTAAACTTTTCTTTGAACGTCTTCTTTAAAACCACAAGGCCAATTACAGCCTTTGGTTTGAAGTATCCCTAGGTGATATGATTCAAATTTTTTTCAAAAAAAAGAAGAATGGTCTGGCCCCTTCTTTGGGCCAAAGATGGCAAAAAAAGGGTCAGATTGAGGTTTATAAAAAAACACTTCTGTGAAACAAACCAGCCATCAGATGATTTTTATCTTTATAAGTCTGTTGAGTGAACGGGCACGCACAATGTTCACTCAATGTCTCTATAAGGTGAGCGGGCACGCACAGTGTTCACTCGATATCTCTATAAGTCTGTTGAGTGAACGGGCACGCACAATGTTCACTCAATGTCTCTATAAGTCTGTTGAGTGAGCGAGCACACACAGGGTTCACTCAATGTCTCTATAAGTCTGCTGAGTGAGCGGGCACACACAGTGTCCACTCCATGTCTCTATAAGTCTGTTGAGTGAGCAGGCACACACAGTGTCCACTCGATGGCTCTATAAGTCTGTTGAGTGAGTGAGCACACACAGTGTCCACTCAATGTCGCTATAAGTCTGTTGAGTGAGCGGGCACGCACAGTGTCCACTCGATATCTCTATAAGTCTGTTGAGTGAACGGCCACGCACAATGTTCACTCAATGTCTCTACAAGTCTGTTGAGTGAGCGGGCACATCCAGTGTCCACTCCATGTCTCTATAAGTCTGTTGAGTGAGCAGGCACACACAGTGTCCACTCGATGGCTCTATAAGTCTGTTGAGTGAGTGAGCACACACAGTGTCCACTCAATGTCGCTATAAGTCTGTTGAGTGAGCGGGCACGCACAGTGTTCACTCAATGTCTCTATAAGTCTGCTGAGTGAGCGGGCACACACAGTGTCCACTCCATGTCTCTATAAGTCTGTTGAGTGACGGGGCACACACAGTGTCCACTCAATGTCGCTATAAGTCTGTTGAGTGAGCGGGCACACACAATGTCCACTCAATGTCTCTATAAGTCTGGTGAGTGAGCTGGCACACGAAGTGTCCAGTCAATGTCTCTATAAGTCTGCTGAGTGAGCGGGCACACACAGTGTCCACGCAATGTCTCTATAAGTCTGTTGAGTGAGCAGGCACACACAGTGGCCACTCGATGTCTCTATAAGTCTGTTGAGTGAGCAGGCACACACAGTGTCCACTCGATGGCTCTATAAGTCTGTTGAGTGAGTGAGCACACACAGTGTCCACTCAATGTCGCTATAAGTCTGTTGAGTGAGCGGGCACACACAGTGTCCACTCGATGTCTCTATAAGTCTGTTGAGTGACTGGGCACACACAGTGTCCACTCAATGTCTCTATAAGTCTGTTGAGTGAGCGGGCACGCACAATGTTCACTCAATGTCTCTATAAGTCTGTTGAGTGAGCGGACAGGCACAGTGTTCACTCGATATCTCTATAAGTCTGTTGAGTGAGTGGGCATGCACAGTGTTCACTCGATATCTCTATAAGTCTGTTGAGTGAACGGGCATGCACAGTGTCCACTCGATATCTCGAGTAGTTTTCAACAGATTTAATTCAAACTTCATTGAAAGGTTAATTATCATAGGAGCTTAGACAAGTTCGATAACCACCATTATTCAACTAATTTACCGAGTTATGCCCCTTTTAACAATTAGTGAAACAGAGTCTGTGTAATATACCCAGTAATATTCTACAGATTTAATTTAAACTTCAAAGGAAGATTAATTTCCATGAAAACTCAGACAAGTGTGATAACCTTAATTTTCTGACTGTAATTTACTGAGTTGTGACCTTTTAATCAATTCCAGAACAGATATCCGCTCGATATGTCGAGTAATTTACAATGGATTGACTATGAATTTCATAAGAAGGTTAAGTTCCCTGAATTCTCAGAAGAATTGTTTAACCACTATTATCGGGCAGTAACTTGCTGAGTAATGCCCCTTTATTCAATTGCTGAAACAGTGTTTGCTCTGTATATCGATTAATTTCCTCAACTTCAAACTTCATAGGAAGGTTAATTGCCATGAAAGCTTTGAGAAGTTTGATAACCACCATTCAAATACCCCTTGTATCAGTGGTGTGAAAGAAATCGCATTTACCTGACCATAATTGATGTTGGTTTCATTTAAACAGTACCAAATGCATTCCATGATGTTTTATTTTTCTTATTAGCTCACCTGGCCCTTTGGGCCAAGTGAGCTTATGCCATGGTGCGGCGTCCGGCGTCCGTCTGTCCGGCGTCTGGCGTCTGGCATCAATATTTTAATTTAAACGACTTCTTCTTAATAACCAAAAGGCCTAGGGTGATGATATTTGGCCAGAAGCAAACTGGGATGAAGGGCTACCAAGTTTGTTCAAATAAATGAACTTCACCTATGTTCAAGGTCACAGGGGTCAAATATGTTAAAAACATTAAACATTTTCTTCTGAATGCCCAAGAGGCATAGGATAATGATATTTTGCCAGTAACATGCTGGGATGAAGGGCTACCAAGTTTGTTCAAATGAATGACCTTCATTCATTTTCAAGGTCACAGGGGTCAGATATGTTAAAAATCTTTAAACAACTTCTCCTGAATACCCAAGAGGCCTAGAATAATGATATTTGACCAGTATCATGCTCAGATGAAGGGTTACCAAGTTTGACCTTCACCTATTTTCAAGGTCACAGGGGTCAAACATATTAAAAACCTTTAAACAACTTCTTCTCAATAATCAAAAGGCCTAGGATGGTGATATTTTGTCAGTAGCATGTTGGGATGAAGGGCTACCAAGTTTGTTCAAAGAAGCGACCTTCACCCACAGGAGTCAAATATGTTTAAATCTTTAAATGACTTGTTCTGAATATTCAAATTGTCCAGGGTAATGATATTTAGCCAGAAGTATGCTGGGACGGAAGGCTATAAACTCTGTTCAACTTAATGTCCTTGTTCGACCTTCAAGGTCACAGGCGTCATATGTTTACATCATTTAATAGATTCTAATGAATTGAACACAGATAGTTTGCCTGTAGCTGTATATTAGTCCACTTTTAAGATTACAAGTGTGAGATGAATACCAGGTGAGTGATTCAGGCTCATGGGCCTCTTGTATACATTGAATATTATGAATAAGTTATGGCAATATTGTATGGTATATCAACATTCACATTATAATACATTAAGTATATGATTATACAACTACTTGTTATTAATTACTAAGTACAAAATACAAAACACAAGTCCATGTTGATGTATGTCCCATCATCTAAGATGAAACAGAATATAGAAAATACAAGTCCATGTTGATGTATGTCCCATCATCTAAGATGAAACAGAATATAGAAAATACAAGTCCATGTTGATGTATGTCCCATCATCTAAGATGAAACAGAATATAGAAAATACAAGTCCATGTTGATGTATGTCCCATCATCTAAGATGAAACAGAATATAGAAAATACAAGTCCATGTTGATGTATGTCCCATCATCTAAGATGAAACAGAATATAGAAAATACAAGTCCATGTTGATGTATGTCCCATCATCTAAGATGAAACAGAATATAGAAAATACAAGTCCATGTTGATGTATGTCCCATCATCTAAGATGAAACAGAATATAGAAAATACAAGTCCATGTTGATGTATGTCCCATCATCTAAGATGAAACAGAATATAGAAAATACAAGTCCATGTTGATGTATGTCCCATCATCTAAGATGAAACAGAATATAGAAAATACAAGTCCATGTTGATGTATGTCCCATCATCTAAGATGAAACAGAATATAGAAAATACAAGTCCATGTTGATGTATGTCCCATCATCTAAGATGAAACAGAATATAGAAAATACAAGTCCATGTTGATGTATGTCCCATCATCTAAGATGAAA